ATCCCCCTCCGATAGGGGAACAGACTGCCCAGTGTGTGTACATAGGGTCAGGGCTGTGTTCTGGGGGTAAATCTCCCTCTGATAGGGGAACAGACTGCCCAGTGTGCGTACATGGGGAACAGGGCTGTGTTCTGGGGGTAAATCCCCCTCCGATAGGGGAACAGACTGCTCAGTGTGTGTACACGGGGAACAAGGCTGAGTTCTGGGGGTAAATCGCCCTCCGATAGGGGAACAGACTGCCCGGTGTGTGTACATGGGGAGAGGGCTGTGTTCTGGGGGTAAATCCCCTTCCAATAGGGGAACAGACTGCCCTGTGTGTGTACATGGGGAGAGGGCTGTGTTCTGGGGGTAAATCCCCCTCCGATAGGGGAACAGACTGCCCGGTTTGTGTACATGGGGAACAGGGCTGCGTTCTGTACAGTACTCACCAATATATCGTATTCCCTGAGGTAGCGAGCGGGTAGTTCTGGCGATCCGATATCGCTCCCTATTCCAGAGTCTGTGCGTTGGGAAGCAGTGCCTGTTTCAAGTGCTAACTTGTCGAGCAGGGAGTCGATAGTAACGTGACTGGTGTGTGAGTTATTGAACTCCATCCCACACCCTCCACCCTCTCAGTACCCTACCCACCCCCCTCCCCGCACCGCTCACATGCCCAATCCCACCGTACCCAGGCACAGTGCTATCCCTGTTAACTCCGGTTTGCCTGTCTCTCAGTTGCTATCTCTCAACCTGCCTGCATACTGCTCCCGTGTGTGAGTCTGTGACAGGGAACATGCCGGAACCTGTCAGACAGCCTCCCGACCCTTTCCTGCTCCTTTGCTTCTGGGGCAGTTCCACTCCCTGTTCGTCATTCCCGCTCTTGGGACACTCCCTGTTCCACGTCTCCCAGGCAACAACTGGGAAAGGGACAGGACGCAGGTCCGTCAGCTTTAAAGCAACAGGACTCAGAAGCATCTGTCTTAAAGGGACAGTACTCACAGAAACTGGCCTTAAAGGGACTGGACCCAGAGACTCCTGCCTTAAAGGAACAGAAACCAGGGACTCCCATCTTAAAGGGAATAGGACCCAGTCATCCCACTCAGCTTTAAAAAGGGACAGAATGCAATAGCCCCATTTTCACAGGGACAGGGCCTACTGACACTGCCTTAAAGGGACAAGGCAGACTCAACAGATTAAAAGCATGAAGGCACAGTTAAAGGGATAGTACACCCCCATAAACACAGTTAAAGTGACAACACTTTTTATACATCATGCTATTCTCCAACGCGCCCACCACCCAGCACCCATTACCTGCGTGTGCTTTTTACTGGCTCTCACTCCAGAACCATCCGACTCTGAATCCATTGTCATTCCTACACCATGAATACTCTCCATCTCCTTATCGCTGGGACACTCCATCTCCTCCACTCTGCACTTCTCCACCTCTCCATCTCTCAGACTCTCCATCTCCTCCACTCCGCGCCTCTCCATCTCTCCTTCTCTCAGACTCTCCATCTCCTCCACTCCGCGCCTCTCCACCTCTCTGTCTCTCAGACTCTCCATCTCTCCGTCTCTCAGACTCTCCATCTCCTCCACTCCGCGCCTCTCCATCGCTCCGTCTCTCAGACTCTCCATCTCCTCCACTCCGCGCCTCTCCATCTCCTCCACTCCGCGCCTCTCCATCTCTCCATCTCTCAGACTCTCCATCTCCTCCATTCCACGCCTCTCCATCTCTCCGTCTCTCAGACTCTCCGTCTCCTCCACTCCGCGCCTCTCCATCTCCTCCACTCTGCGCTTCTCCATCTCTCCATCTCTCAGACTCTCCATCTCCTCCATTCCACGCCTCTCCACCTCTCCGTCTCTCAGACTCTCAATCTCCTTATGTGTGAGAGTCTCCGTCTCCATGTCTCCATGATTTTCCGTCTCACCAACCCTGAGACTCTCAGTCTCCGCACCCAGCCTGGGCCCTGGCATGGAGGGTGACAGCTGAGCATGTTGTGGGGGACTCCCTTCCTGTCCTGTCCTGGCTCGTTCCAGGGATCTTGGTGTTGACCACTCAAAGGACTCAGAGAGGCCCCAGTCTGAGGAACGCGAGACATCGGAGTCAAGACTGAAACACTCGTGTTCAGCCAGCACGTGCCCCCGGGCTGCCAGCCCTTTCTCCTCAGCCAGACGCTGTGCCTCGGCCAGACGCTCCGCCTCGGCCAGACGCCTCTCCTCCTCGGCCAGACGCTCCGCCTCGGCCAGACGCCTCTCCTCCTCGGCCAGACGCTCCGCCTCGGCCAGACGCCTCTCCTCCTCGGCCAGACGCTCCGCCTCGGCCAGACGCTGTGCCTCGGCCAGAAGCTCCGCCTCGGCCAGAAGCTCCGCCTCGGCCAGACGCTGTGCCTCGGCCAGACGCCTCTCCTCCTCGGCCAGACGCTCCGCCTCGGCCAGACGCCTCTCCTCCTCGGCC